CTCCATGAGTTGAAGAACCAGTCGGAGAGTCCCTAGTGGGCCCTAGTGCATTCTAAATGAATAGCATTGCTTGGTCCGGTGAACTGTTGGAGAGAGGTCCGGTGTTTTTCAAAAAGCGCTTGACTGTTGGGTTTTGCTGGGCCGAGCTGTGCTCAGAAATTAACATGGCTCGTGGAGTCACTTGCACGTAGTATTTGAGTGCGCTTCCCACTGCCCAGAGCATTCACCCATGGTCTTGATGGGCTTCGTGCTCCTGACATGTTTAGTGCAATGCGACGCTACACACTTTGGCTGCAAAACCAACTGCACAGTTTTCTGCAAGCAACCCTCTGTCGCTTTTTGCTATCAGGCAGGGCCTAGCACTCTAGCTCTTGTCAATTTTCTAATGTCCGAGACTGCCACTCCGCGAGCTGCCATGGATTCAAAAAAACCTTGCATTCCAAAGCCCGTTCAACGGTGGTGGGCTGGGGTGTACTGCTCCGGCCCTCCCGACACTGGGCATAGCGGTTTTATTTCTGATGATGATTGGGAAATTCCCACAGAGTGCGATGACGAGGCCAGACTTCCCAAGAGAAGTTCAAAGCCCAATAGACAACTCTTCATGCCCTTTATGTCCTTTTCCATTATAGTACTGTATATAATATATAGTATATGCTGCGCGGTGCTTCTTTAACTTGTTTCGTTCTGACATGCTTTCTCAAGTTTTGAATGCGCGTTGCACGTGGAGGCTTTGGAGCACGTGCCCAGCCAGACCACAAGGGCCAGAAGCGATCATCACGGCACCTCTACAGTGTTGGCCTCATTGACCCCGCTTGACAGAGTTTTGTGGCTTATTTGTGATTGGGTTTCAAGGTGGTGAACTTGGTGGACGACGCCGGTGATTCCAGAGCAGAAGGAATTATCGTTGTTCAGGAGAACAAAAAGCGACTTTACTGGTGGCTTCAGCCCAAAATTCCACTTGGACTTGGGATGTGAGAAAAGGTCCCTTCAATTCCTGTTTGACCATCCAAAGTAGTATGTTTTATTGCAATTAGTGTGTGCAAGTAAGTTCTCAGCCCAAGTCCCAGTGAACAGTTTGTGGCCATTCATTCATCGGCCCATAGCTTTTTCTTCCACTAGTTGTCAATTTGTTGTTTGAGGAGCCTGGCGTTAGAGCAAGCCGACCAGCGAGTGAAGGAGATTCCAGCTTGGCTCCGCAGAGTTGAGAAGCTAACGTTTGCAGGACCCAGGCGCTCCTCCACTAAAAGGCGATTTGGCAGCCCTACAGGCGCTCAATTTTTGTTTAAACATGTTGGAACAGCAAGTCTCTCTCAGCCTGTCAGTTTTGTTTTTTGGCTGCAGGAGACAAAGGTGATAGCAACAACAGCCAAATGGCGCAGATCCGGAGGCTCAGGAGCAGCTTCGAATCGGAGCCATAGAGATTTTGGAGGTGTGCTGTCCTAGTACAACCTTTTCTTACTGACTTGCAGACTTGCATGAAATCCATTGCCAAAATAAATTTGCAATTCATAGCGTTGCACGTCAGCTTCATAGAAGCTCGCCGAGTTTCAGTGTGCGTTGGCTACCCAATGTTGCAGCGGCAAAATAGCAACGTCCAAATCAAGCCTGCCAACCAACCTTCAACTTATTTAACCTGTGCTCACTGGGGTGCGGTTACAACTGTTGTTTTGTGGCCCAAGGAACGACATTTTGCCATTATTTTTCACAGTTCAGCACCAGCAACCCATACTACAAAACAAAAGACAAGCAAGCTGTCACTCTCAAACGATTCATTGATCGTTTGTTCGTTCTTGGTCTGAAATGATGTAACTAGTTTTCCTTTGGCCAAGTCTGATTGTATGTCAATGTGTTGGTGAGTGAGTGAACCTTGTGCGATGATCACAGAGCTTTCTGACGAAGAGGCTTCGCGACCTTGTGGTGGTCAGGCGCTTTCTAGAGTGGTGGACTCGCTGTCAGATGACGAGAGGCCGTCGACAAGCAAACCATATGAAGAGCCACCTGCATCATCGCGCGGCCGTTCGCCGTGCAAGCGCAAGAGGGACTTGAAACCAGCCCGTACCAAGCACGAGGTCAGAACACAAGTTGTTAGATGTACCCAAAGTGTGTGCAAGTGCGCCCGGAAGTCAACCTCCCGAAGCCGGCGCAGCTGCTTCCAGCAGTTTGGCCAGTTGGTAGACAAAGTCCTTGATTTGCGCCTGAAGATTTACAACTTGCACAAGTTGGATTCTGACAAATTTGTGCCTTGGTTGATGTTCGCAAATGGTTGCGCCGGCTTTTCAAATGCCTTCAACCCCCTAAGAGTGGCGCAAAACCGGCGGCGTCCGTTGCTTTTTGTTTGCGTTCCAACTAATAGTTGATTTGGGTTATATACATTGCAAATGTCTCGGGGATTCAATGATGGTTGCCCTTCAGTCTCGCAGAGGTATGTGATCTCTTGAAGCGTGAGCGAATTGGAACCAGGCATTCCCAATCACTTTTTGAGAAGCCTGTTTGTGCGCACGCCTTCTGTCGTTTGCTGGGCATAGGGCATAGCAGATTTGGCAAGCTCAAGCGGGCTGCATCAGATGCCGCCCCACTTGTGGACGGACGGTTTGTCCGTAAGGTGAAAGAAACCTGGTCTGAAAACAGAGTCCTGGTTTTTGAGTATTTGGAAGAGCTCTACCAAACTCTGAGCGAGCCAGCTCCAGAAGCTTCTGAGCGCAGCACTGCCCCAAAGTTGCTGCGCTTCAGAAAGCGCCGTGGGAAGGCGCCAAAGATTCAGTCGCTGCAGAGGCGGCAAATGAAGAACAAACAGTGTGATGGCATGAAGCTGCTGCCCCCAGGAACATACAGTGAATACTTAGCTCTCCTTCAAGCTCGACATCCACATCGGCGTATTTCGCTGAAGCTCTTCAGCTCGGAACCTTGTCATTGTTTTAAATTCAACGTCAAGGGCGTAGTATTGTTGGACGGACATGGGCTCCAGTCAACGAAAGCAAATTTCTCAGTGACTTGTATATGTTGCATATGTTTAACTTCAGTTTCAATATGCCACCTTACCCACTCCAAGGTGTGGACAGAACAATTTTCGCACAAGTTAGCTGTTCGCCCAAGAAGCCAACACAAAGAATGTGGAATATGCGTTCGCCACAAGCGCATCCTGCGACGCCTTGGAAACGACCGGAACGGGCGGGCGGCGCAAATGAGCGAATACTCTTCTCACTTACAGAAGCAATTCAGCGACAGATCCATTTACTGGGCCGCTCGAGCCCAGTCCCGGCTGGGTGACCTGCTGCCAACAGGCACCCAAACCTTGGCGTTTATCTGCGACGCTATAGACCACACGAAGTTCAAGTTCCCTCGATCGGAATGCTTCCAGGCGAAGGACCTGGACTCATGCCAGCGGCCGTGCCTGGACATGACGGCATGCATTTGCCACGGCCATGGCGTTTGGCTGTTCCCGTCCTTGGTCCATGTTTGCAAGGACTCCAACTTGATGGCAGACTTGCTGACCTTTTGTGTAGATCGGATATTGCAGAGTGGCCGAGTGGACGGCCGCTGTGCGGAGCTATTGCTCCAAACGGACAACACATGCAGAGAGTGGAAGAACAACTGCATAGTCAGATTACTTGGAGCATACACAGCCACGCACCGCTTAAGGCGGTGCGAGCTCAGGTGCTTGTTGTCAGGACATTCTCACGAGGATGTAGATCAATACTTTTCTACAATGTCCAACCACATCCAGGGGTACAAGGAACTGTACCGGCCCGCTGATTTCAAGCGCTGCTTGGAAGATTTGCATCAAGATGGAGGGGTCCGGCAACATGAGCCCTTGAAAGAAGTTCACGTTGTTTCTTCCACCAGAGCTAGGTGTTTTGCATTTGCTGGCACGACCTTTCTATTCTGTGTTTAGGTGGTTGGGATTTGCGCTTGACGGTGGTGGCTGTAAACGCCGTGCGCCCGCCCAACGCCAAGGAAAACCCACCTACATATTGGCTGCTTGGGGAACCATCTGCAAGGAATTGGAGGGCGAGGTGCCCCACATTTGTTCGCGCTCGACAGGAGGTCTGAGTTAGGCGTGGCGTTGCTACAATTTTGGGCGATGGACTGATGTGCATAAGGAAAGGATTGTATATTATTGTATAGATTACTTTTTACGAACCAACGGCAGGTCTCAGTCCCAGCTTCTTTCTTGCCCTGACAGGCTTGGATTCAGCGAGGATTGATTCCACGTTTTGGAGCAAACTTGGCTTGGAAGAGCATCCGTCAGATGTTATTCTGAGGACGGTTGGTCGTTTCAGTTTTGAAAAGGGTCGGAAAACAACATAGTAGTTTTCCATGTCACTGCCGGAAGAGGGTGATTCAGGGGGTAGTAACTTGCTTTCACTTCGATGGACTCCAGGGTTTCTTTGAGGGCTTTTTGTCAACAGGACGAAGCAGAACATGTCTGACCCTGAGTGGAAGCAAACGCTTCTGTATCTCCCCTATGCTGTGGTGCAAGACATGGTCCGGAGCAGTGGAGGCAGCGGAATTCCGGAAGGCGGGGTGTGTTTCATCAATCCGGAGACCTTTTTGAGATGTGATTAGTCTCAGGGTTGTTCTCACCTGTGGCTTGTCAGCTAGTCAACAGAGTTGGAGATGAGCTTGTTTGATCCTTTCAGGATTGGCAGATGAACGGGTTCACGACGCAAAGCTTGCTGACAATTGGCGGAAGTTTGCCAATGTTCTTCGCCAGGCGACATGAAACTTGAAAGTTTTCTTTGTCGTTGCGTGGTCTATTGTTCAGGGCCAGGAGAGTCAAACACTGTAATTGCCTTGGGTCCCAGGTGAAGATCCACTGTGCTTGACAGAAGCGGCAGACTATTTGGATCTCATGCCCGGAACGGGGAAGAAAGAGGTCCACCCTTGGAAGTCAGAAGGACCCTGAGTTGAACCTTTGTTCAGTTCTTGAAATCTCAATAATTTTGCTGATGTTTACTGTCCATTTTTCGTGTTGTGACAACTTGCTGCGATGGCCCAGGATGTTCTTGGGCCCTGGACCGGCTGTTGGCCCAGGAGTCAGGGCGCCACTGCGTGGCATCAACTTGGAACCAGACCCTTAGCTTGTTCAGTGTCACGCTTTTTGGCCGGGTGCGCACGTCCAAGAGTTTCAAATTGGCGCCTAGGACCCGAATATCTTGCGGTTGCGGACGGAACGGCTTAACAAGGATTTTTTGTACACTTACAGGCTGAAACGCAAAGAATATTGGGTGTACAAAGCCGCCGCCAGACTTTGGCGAGAGGGAATTGAATGGGCGACCGCTTTGGAGATTGTAAGCGAGGCATTTGACGCTACAACCCACTAGCCCTAGTAACTGAGTCTCATTCAATCTCACCTACTTTAACCCTCCAAAAAATGTTTGTTTATATATATATATATTTATATTGTAGTACGGTGTTTGGTTTTGATTGGTTCAGGAGTCTAGGACTGCATTGACGTTTTGATTTTCTCTGATATTCACGGGGTTTGTGGATGTAGCGGCGCTTGCTGGGTAGTGGTGTCATGTTTTGCGCGGCACTGTGCAACACAAAGTGTGCGCACTGAAAGACTACAAACTTCACAAACTGCCCCATCCAAACCAGCTCTTTATTCGAGTTGCTGCCCCCCCCCGGCCAACGCAAAACCAATGAGTTTGAACCAGGTTTCCCAAAAAACACGGTCAACAGTTTTGGGTTTTCAAGTTTTCTCTCTGTGATGTTGGTTTTTAAGTTGGCCACCCCCCCACCGCCAACACAAAAACACATTGCCATGCCCACCCTCCATGTGTGCAGAAAATCAAGTTTTTTCGCTGGAGTTGTTGAGTTGGACATGTTGCACGCAAAATTGCCAAAAAATTTGGGTGCGGCATGGAGTTTAAGGGGGTATTTTTGGGATTAAGAACTGAGGATGGGCGCTGGTGTCAAAGTAGAAGGAAAATTTCAGTTTTGTGTTGGAAGGGGGCCCTCTTTGACACAAAACGGTTGGTCTGGCTCAAGGGTTCGCGGCCCATACAATTTTGAGTTGGTGTGTGTTGGCCGGCAACACAAAACCGGTTCAAGTCTGTTCGCGGTCTACACAAAGCAAGCGTTGGTGTGGTGCTGTTCTACACAAAACAATCTTTTGTGTGTTACCCTTCCACACAAAACCACAGGCCATGTGTTCTCAATCTACACAAAACAAATCTTTCTGTGCTGGGGTTCTACACAAAACCACGGGCCGAGTTCTCAATCTACACAAAACAATGACAAGTCTTTCTGTGCTGGGGTTCTACACAAAACCATGGGCCGAGTGTTCTCAATCTACACAAAACAAGTCTTTCTGTGCTGGGGTTCTACACAAAACCATGGGCCGAGTGTTCTCAATCTACACAAACAAGTCTTTCTGTGCTGGCGCTCTACACAAAATATCAAGCCAAAGGCTTTCTCAGAAGTCAGTTGTTTGCGGTTGGACGCAACCCACTTCTGAAACACGCACACTTTGTTTTAAGGTTTGTTGCTGCGTGCAAACAAACAGATTTGAATTTTCGCTGACAGACTCTGGCCTGCCAAGCAGTGCTCTGAATTGCTGCAGACTTAAAGGGGACCCGTCGTTCTTCTGTCAAGCCTTCAATTACGGCAACTTGCTTCGACCTTCCTCACCCGGCCCCCTCCCAAAGGCTAAAATTATCATTTTTGAGAGATCTGGCCGCCAGGTGCCAACAGCCGAGGCTGAGGATGTGTGACCGCCAGCTTTGAATTAAACGACAAAATTTATGTTAAAGCGCCGCGCTGGGCTCCCAGTGCTTGCGCAGACTTGAAGGTTGGATGGCAAAAGATGGCACCTTAATCTGTGGCGACCGTTGTGTGCGTGTGTTTGGAAGTGTCAGTGCACCGGGATATGTTTTCACTTTGAAGTCTTTTTTGGAACTCAAGGCTCTGCTGCAGGGGCCATGGGGGCAAAACGGAAATCGGGCGGAGGAGGAGATGGGTCAGCTAAAGCTGCTAAAGCTGCAGCCACCCCGAAGGCCAAGGCCTTGGAATTGGGGGGCGGTATCAGCCGAAGAGCTGGATCTTAACCATGTGAAACTTTTCACAGAGTGGTTGCCGCTTGATTATTTTAGTGATGAACGTGTTGCGCGAACGCAGGTCAATTAGCCTAGATTTTGTGGTGACAAGTTGTTTGCGCCGAGCAGGGTGTTGAAAGAAATAAGTTAAATTCTTTGGTGGAACAAGGAGCGCCAAGTTGGAGAAGCATGGAGACATGGACAAGGTGTTCGCACATGCCTTTGCGAGCCAGGATCGGGATCACAATTGTGTCGTTGTGTACTTGTTTATGTTTTCGCGGCAAGTGATTCTGAGTGGTTGTTGGTGCGATGATGGCAGGAACAGTACCAGAAGTTTGCGCAATGGCTGGACTCGATTTTTCCTGCCGAAGCAGGAGTGTTGGGGCCATAGAGATTCGTCCACTTCATTAGCCGCGCCAAGTGACTGCTACAGGTCATATGCTACGAATGAGGATTTCAAGTTGCAGCAAGGCATACACCTCAGACCTTTTCATTTGCCTTACCATCCTTCCGCCGGATTGAAGGGGTTCTTGGAAGGGGAAACTGGACTGCACATTGATACCAATGAGAGAGACTTGTCATTCGCGTTGAACAACAACTTAGCTTTGTGCGTTGTTTTCTTATCAAAGGACCTGCACCTGCAATTGTGCCAGCTAATTTTGTGCCACGGGCTGCTTTTCTTGGTTGAGCTGATGTTTTTGATTCCTTGGGTTTGGCCGGTGGTCGTTACAGCTTAGCCGCGACCGACAGTGTGGCAAGGTTTCGCACAGATAGCAACGAAGGAGGAGTGGAGAAGCTCGCTGTCTTCTCAATGATGCCCACATATGGAATCAGTCCTCCACTCGACGTGTCACCAGAGTTGATAGTCCCTGAGACTCCATCCATGGTTTCGCCGATGTCCGTGTTCATGGTCAAGGGGTGGGCTCGTTCGTTTTGCGCAACGACGGTGCTGTTGGCGGCGTACGAATCTTCTGAGATGCTTTCATTGTGGCCATCTTCCGTTCGCGAGTTTTTTGGCTGAGATTCAAATGTGTGCAAGAATCACTGCACTGTTCATGTCGTTGCCAGTGTCTTTACGCAACTGCCGCTGACTACTAGGTCTTTCAGGACCATCCATGGTGCTGTCGTCTTGGTCCCCGGAAAGGACGACCCGTCGGCCATCCTTCTGAAGAATCGAGGTCGATACCCCAGTCAGTCTAGCTTGGAAAGAGTGTAACTTGCGGTACTCCTTTCTGATCCTACCCCTGCTTTTGGTCTTTTTGGCAAATCAAAGTGAGTGTATATTTGTGAGGAATCACGATGGCCTCTACAATCAGACGGCGTCCGAACTGTTTCAATCTATTGTTTCAGATGCGTTTGTCCCAGCGGATGAACAGAGAAGATGCAACATCCATTGAGGCCTTTTGTTTTCGTTGCGTTGCGGATGACACCTTAATGAGTAGTCACTTGCTTTCTATTGAACCTGACGCTCACCTGTATATAAAATGATATGTGTTCAGACCTGGAACTCAGCGACGGAGATCGCCGAAGCTTATACCATTGGAAAGATGGAGTCAGGAGCTGCAATGCAGCTCCTCAAATCTGTGGATCCTGAAGTAACTGAGAGTTTGGCATGCCATGTGAAGACTCATAGCTTATTAAGTGAGTCATTGCACTTCAATTGACCGACTGACCTCATTGTTTCTGGCCCTGTCCACTTTTTTGTCCCGATCAGGAAATGGTCCATGGGACGGTTCATGACGCACGAACCGATCTTTCATGGCGTCTTCAACAGAGACTACACGGGCGGCACCAATGTTCTGGCGCCATGGGCAACAGAACTTCAAAACACAAAGGAAAGCTTGGAATTGATGGTCCTGCGCATGGAAAGTGATTATGCCCAAACGCGGCCAAAAATGCGGAAGACGTGGAATCTGACTTTGGTGGATTTTTGGATATGATTAGCTGGGGGACCGGGAGCTGTTGCGAGCGCAAATTGTTCTAATGATTTTAATGTTACTTATTGCTTGTTGCAAGAAACTTGATATAAGGAGCAGTTACAGAGGCAGTGTGCAGCTTTCATCTCTTGCTTGAAAGAGTTTCGACGCAAGTACCCTGAGAGCTTTGCTCGGGGCGAAGAGCCTGCCATCAGGAAAGCGCTACTTGGTTACAAGAATGTATTAGTGTTTCTTGTCTATCAAAAAGCTCATAAAGTATGAGGTTCATGTGTCAGAGCGTCAATGTGTTCGCACATGTCGCAGCTTCTTTGCGGGCCCACAGGTTCCTGGCCCGGCACGCTGATGCAGAGCTGGATGGGCTGGTGGAGCGAACAGTTCCGCCCTGTGACATTTCACGGGTTGGTGTGTTTCGCGCAGTAATGACGAAACATGTAGAGCAGGCGTGGACGTGCTTTTCTCTCCAGTGACGTTCTTTTTGGGAGATCCGTGCGGGGCATCATGGTCAGGTAGACAAAGAAAAGCGCGAGGCAAACGATAAGTGGCTTCGCTGTCAAGTTCATACCCACCTATTGATGTGATGGTTTTTGTTGTAATGACTTGTTGGTGGGTCACGTGGGGGGATGAGGGGAGCCGAGGATCAACGAGATGTTGGCAGCGGCAACGCAACAGCAAACTGAGAAAAAACTAGAATCAGATTTGGACAAAATGGCAACGTATCTTTCTGAAGCGAGGGCCCATGCCAACAAACAGGCAGGACGTGGTTCTGTTGAATGTCAGATTCAATTTTGGGATGTGCTGTGGGTTCATGTTTCTATGGGGGTGGGGTCTCAGGGTGGCCTGGACCTCAAGTACATGGAGGAGAGATTCAAGCGTGGTAAAGAGTGGGTGAGCAAGTTTATGGACAACCACCACCGAGTGTGCCATGTTGGGTTGGACGGTTGTCATGCAGATCTGCTGTCATGGCAAAGAAAGGAAGCAGATTCTGCTTCCAGTAACAACTCGTTGCCTGGCAGTCTTCCAGACTAGTGACATCTAGTGACTATAGATGGTAAGCGCTAAGGATGCCCTAGAACTTTTTAAAGATGTAATGGTCTGAGGCTGACGATACTTATGTTGGATTGCTCGGTGTGGTCACGGCGCATCTAAGCTGCGCCGGAACTCACGTTCAATTGTTTCAGTCAGTGACCTGCAGTCGCTCCGAGCAGCGGCTCCCACCAATCAATCGAGCCTTGTCCTTTGTATGAGGTCCATTGGTCATTGACGAGGCCGTGGCGCTCAGCAAGTCGATCTGCAACGCAGACTCTTCAGCCGTTTTGTTTGCGCTGACGCCAATGCTACATTCCGGCA